CTACCTCTCACACCTTAATTTATCCCATTTAGGGGGACCTTAATTTGTACTTAATTAATTTTCTTTTTGGATGATTGTAAGACTACTTATGCATTTTCTTTAACTTTGCTTTACTTTAAAAAAAATTATTATGAGGTCTTATGTCCTTGCTCCATGTCTCCTTGTGATGTTCTGCAGATTACAGAATTTTCATCCTCTCTCTCTAAATTTGGATCACTTATCTTTCTCCATTCTATCAGGGGAGTGTCAGTTTCTTTCTCCCTCTTTCTCTTGTTTTTATTGTTAATCTAGTTTTCACATTGTGGATAGTGTGTTGTTCAAGTATGGGGGAGGGTGAAATTAACTTTGCATTGCCTTGCTTGTCCTCAAATTTTGGTGTTTGATTAATTATGTGTCTTCATTTTTCTTTTGTTGTAGTGTGCGTGTGTATATTATTTTTATTTGTTGTTAAAAAAATCATTTATTTGTCTTGTGTCTTTAGTTTATTTATGAATGTTGTCAAGATTACTTATGCTTGAACTTAAAGGTATTAAGTTGAATTGGGAGTCTACTTTACCTTTTTATTGAAAGTTTGCAATAGGCAAAGAATTAGGCTTGGATAATTTAACTTAGAGAGTCCAAAAAGCTTGTGAGGAATTTAAGCCCAGATTTTCATTTCTTTTAAGAGAGAATTTACTTATTGTGATTCCATCTATAGAACTTGTCTTAAATCTCCCTTGAAACTTCAAATGTCTTTTTGCATGCACAAAGATGACTTAGGCATTTATTTTCAAAGCTAGTTTGGCCAAATGACTATCCTTTTCACATTTAATTCCTTGTTTACCCTTTGAGCCTTAGCCTTTCCTTTTAAAAAACTGATGAATAATTTTATAGCCCTTTATTTGAATCAAAATATCCTTTTATATTTTATACCTTTTAATCACTTTAGGTGGTGCTAAGTGGGGCAACTAGTAAATGAATTGATTGAAAAAAAAAAAGATTCCATGTTTGTTTAGAAAGTAATGAATGTGCAAATGCTTTATAAGAGTTGAGAAAGATAGAAGAAAAATGATGAAGATGAAAAAGAAAAAGAAAGAGAAAGAAAGAAGAAAGGAAACAAAAAATGGATGCATAAAAAAAATTGATAGAGTGGAAATGGAGATAAGAAACAAGCCTATGGTAGATGGATTGCAATAGGTAAAATTGAGTGAAATACAAGCCATCAAACACATTAAAAGTAGAGTGCAAACATTTGACTGATGAGGGACAATTTATTGTGATTTATCCTTACCTAGTTATCTATCTTATTTCTCATATTCTTTTAAAAGGGTAGAAATGATTCTTTTGAAGACTAATTGCTTGAAAGTTTAAATAACTTTTGATCTGACAATTTTTGCAATCCTTCTATTTAGTTAGTTCTTTTCAAAAATCTTGAGGATAAGATTTGATTTAAGGGTAGGGGTGTGATGACTCCTTATTTTGTGTCAGAATTGATATGTTTTTGGTTATATTTTGGGAGCCATCAATAGAAAAGAGAAACATTTTCTTCCCTTTATAAAGAAAAATTAATTAAGTGCCTCATGTGGATTTATTGTAATATTTTTAAGGAAATTGTTTAAAATGATGAAAATTGAAGTACACAAATATTATACTCATATTTATTAATTGTGAATAGATAGGGCATGTCTACATCAAAGCAAGAAAGAGAAAGGAGACAAGAAAAAAGTGCTTTTTAGTCCAAAACATAAAAGTGAAAACTCCTATGCACTGTCAAAATTTTTAGAATTGCTCATTAGTGTCATGGCACCACCAAAGGAGTGTCATGGCACCAAACGAAAATGCAAAAACACACAGTTTCATTTTTTGTATGACATTAACCTACATAACTTGTCTTTTTGGACTGGAGGAGGACCTTTCAGTTGCTTTAACTGGAGAAAACCTTAGGAGAGCAAGAGGAGAAGTCTTGGAAGCTTGGGATCAAGAAGAAGTGGAGCAAATATTCATTTTACCTCATTTTTTTAGTGTTTTCTCTTCTTCTTTTCCTTTATCTAATAGATTTGAATTTTTCCTGTATTGTTATAGTTTTCATTTCCTCTATGTGTAGCTAAATCTTCTTGTTCTAGAGGACTATGAACCTATTTGTGTAAATAACCTTGAATTTACCATTTAGTTGTTGAGAAATGAAGTTTTGATTACTTGTTCTTAAGCTATTTTGTTCTTATTTAATGATTGGCCACTATTAGGTGAGATTTGATCATTTGGGTTGAACCTTGAAAGAGAAAACTCAAACTAGACCTTGAGAACTAGTAGTCTAGAATTAGTTTAACTAATTTGCCATTAGAACATGAATGTATCTAATCGACCTAGGTAATTCTCATGGGTTCAAGTCTCTAATGTAATTAATTAATTAAGGTAATAATTTGCTTTAATTAAATTAATTAGGATCCTTAGTGATCAGAAGATACTTTGGATTAATTTAGATTTTCAGATTATCAAAACTGAATTTTAAGACAATTAATATGGTAATGAGAGGGTTAGGAAGAAAACAGAGGATTAGAACTCAAGAACACTCTTTTCTTAGTTGATTTGAGTTGTTTGTGGATTGAAAGTTATTTTAATCAATCACTTTTAATATTTTCATTTTACCTGTTCTAAAATCAATTTCTAGTTTTCTTAGCTTAATGTGAATAAATTTGAAAATTTAATGCCTAATCGTCATTTTAATTAATTCCTTTAGGGATCGACCTTGATTTACCGCTAGCTTCGATTGTGACTCATACACTTGTGGTATTTCTTAATTTTTTATGGGTATCAGGTCTTTACTTTAGTTGTATACTTTGTTTATTTGTTGAAAGGATTAGAGCTCCTGATTCTTATGATTTTTAGTAGAAAAATTTCGTTATAGAATTTTTGAACAGTTCTATTTACAAGAAAAGTTTTACCAAAATTTTTATAAACATATTAATGCTTTTGTTTGAATGAAAATATCGAAGATGTCCTAATTCTAGTACAAGTATAATCATGATTTAAAGATAGAAAATTACTTGGATTAATACTTAAGGGATGTGTGTTTTCTGGTTCATATCCCATGCCTGTCATACATTTTTTTGAGACATGACGCTTAATCTCTTATAAGGTTTGTTATGTTAGTTCTAGAAGGATTTTTGAATTAATATTAATTAATTCAAATTTAGACTAAGGGCCGGTTTATTTAAAACTAAAAAATAAGTAATTTTTAAATAATTTAAATATTGCATAGAAAGAGATTTATTTTGTAGAGATTTTATAAAAGACTAACATTATTTTATATTTAGTTATAATAATAATAAAGGATTATTAGTTAGTTATTTTTAAATTTTATAATATTTTTTATTTTTCTTAAAAATAATTTTTTATTTAATTATTTTAAAATGTTATGATATCTTTGTGTATCTCACATTTTTAAAATAGTCTCCCACAAAAAATAACATAGCAAACTTTTTTTTTTTGAAAGCTGCTCAAAATAATTAGATATCTATTTTTTTGAATTATGATTATTTTTAAAAATTTAAGCAAACATACAAAAATCTCAAAAAATAATTTTTATTGAAAAAATAAATAACTTTTTTTATAAAATAAATTGAAACAAACGGGCCCTAAATCAGTGTAGTTTACATTTAAATCTATCTAATAGACTAAATTCAAATTATTTTATTTAATATAAATTAAATCTAGGGCCAAATTTAAAATGCGTGTGTTTCGAATTTTTAAACTATGCATTATCATAAAAGTTAAGATGAAATTAAATTTAAACATTTTCTCACATGTTTTTCCCTCAACTTGGCACTCACCATTCGTGTTTCACTGTAATATAGCCTTTTTTTTTTTCTTTTTAATGATGCTGTGCTCACACATTTTCGATCTTTTTTCACTCCATAAATTTCTCTTAGGGCTCTTTAAAAAAACTAATCAATTAAATTAAGGGTTAATATACAATTTGAATTTTAAACCATATGATTTGCTCTTTAAACTTTTATTTAGTATATTTGGAAGTGATTCTCGTAGAATCAGATTTGATTTTCTTGGCTATTTAGAAATAGAGACTTTATTTGAGAATAAGGACTTTAAGTCAGATTTGTAGCAATTGTTACCATTTTTCTTCCTTATAAGCCATTAAGCTTAATTATAATTTCATGAAATACACAAAATTTTCTCATTTGTTATCATCAAGACCAAGATTCAACAACATAGACATATACTTGACTTTTTTAATTGATGACTTGAATATAATATGGGAATTAGGAGCAGGGGTATATGAGGAGTATGGGAAAGAAAGAAAATCTTTTTAAACTAAACAATTGAATAAGTCAAACCGTGGTTGGTCAAAAACAAAAATCAAACCATGAATTTCAATGTAGAAAGCTGAAACTCTTCAATGAGATATTACAAATATATAGAATTTAATTAACAACATATATAAACAAATTTAACATAAGAAATTATGTTCATGTCCTCATTAATTATTTTTTTTAGAAAAAGAGGGATACAAGTTATTAAGAGGAAAATCACATCCAAGAATCTCCTAAGAGAATTTTTCACAAACAAGAATAAAAAATAAGTCACCATTCATGGAAAAAAAAATCTCTATTACTATTTAATAACAAACAATTTCATATTAATCCTTGTTTGCAAATAACTCTTGGACGATCCTTGAATGTGATTCTCCCATTATTAAATAATATTTCTTTCAAACCAAAATATAAGGCATTGGTAGTTAAACATGATTTATGAAAAAATTAGTTAAAACCTTAATTTCTTAAAAAAAATTACTTCTTTCCTATTTTACCATCATTAAATATTTTATATAAGTGTTTTGATAATGATAATTAAAATTCTAATACATCATTTTTTTAAAGAAAAATAATAAATAATATAGGAGTATAGTTGAAAAAATAATTATAAAAATTACTCAATACTTTATATTTTAGACTAAGTAAGGTTTTTATGAGACGTCTTATATTGTGGTAGGGAGAGAAGAATTATCAATATCTTTTTTTTTCAACAATTATGCAGATGTGATACCTATAAACTAAACTAAAATAAATTAAATTAAAAGCCATCCTAACCAAACCCAGCGTGAACCGACTCAATTTTCTGTTATCTCTCACAATAACATATTCAGGCCGAAAACAAATTTGCAGCAGCGAAAAAAGAAAAAAGACAAAAGAAGAGGGATAACAACAACAACAAGAACAACAATAATACAGGAAAAGCCATTATTTTAGCATTGAATCACTCAACAAGGAATGAGCACATGAGTAGAGGTCCCGGGCACCCTAGCAGTAGTTAGGTCACTAGGTTGGCAATTTCAGCGATTTGCTCCTCCAGGTACCTAAATATTCAAAAATTAAATACAACGATGGTTAAAAAAAATAATAATCTTGATTAAAAAAAATAATACTCTATAATATAAATGCATCTATAATTCACTCAATTGTGTCAATGCATTTTGAGAGAATTATGTTGAAGTTTTATATAAAAAAATTAATTATCACAAGATTTATCAATAAATTTTTGTTTAATTATTAATAGATCTCGTAGCGATTAATTTTCTTATGTGAAATGCATATGTAACTTTTCCATGCATCTCTGGGAATATTCACAACTTGATATCACCAATGTCAATGCTGGGGGTCAAATATCATAATATATTGAACTACTGAGCAGGGGACCACATGGGTTGTTATTGTCAAGGACAAGAGTTCAAGATAGAAGTTTACTTGCCTCTGAGTGTTGAAATCTTCGCTTCAATCTTGCCATGAAGAGGAATGCTTGGACATAAATCCAATCATTCATGTCACTGAAGAATTGAAAATAGGCTTGTCTCCATGAACTTTTGAGGATCAAAGTTCCACAGACTCCCCAAAATCCGATGGTGGATCCAAAAAACATGCTGATGTAAAATCCCAGGCTTATTAGTTGATCAGGGTCTGAATGATCAGAACTTGGTGCTTCTCTCAGACAATCTTGACTGAGAGGTGGGCCACAAAGTCCTTGGTTTCCTGTGTAAGCGTAAGCGCCAAAGGTGTCCAATTGGGAGCCGCGAGGAATTTCTCCTGATAAACTGTTGAAGGACAAATCCAAGAACGTGAGATAATGCAAACTTGAGAAGCTAGCTGGAATTCCACCAGAAAGATAATTTCTTGATAAATCAAGCAACTCCAAATCTTGTAGCTGGCCCATGTTATTGGGAATGAATCCGGTGAGATTGTTGTTTGAAAGGTTTAAAAGATGCAATGCCAAAAGTTTTGTTATGATATCTGGGATCTCCCCTTGTAAGTGATTGCTAGAAAGATCAATCCCTATTAGGAAATAGACAGGAAGACCTGGGAGGATAACCTCAGTTCCCACTCTGTCGAAAGAAAACTGATCTCCTGGTTTCTCAAAATACATCTCCACAAAATTATCCAAAAAATTATCCCGAAAATTATCCTCATTAGTTGAATGAGAAATGTCTGATGAAAAGTTACTTGTCATGGAAACTATCTGATCGAGGCAATGAGGTATTATTCCTGTAATCTCATTATGAGCAAGGTCCAAAGCTTTAAGTTGTTCTAGATTACATAAACTTGTAGGTATGCTTCCTTGTAGCTTATTTTCCCGTAGATCCAAAACAATCAAATTAGGCAAGTTATTCCCCATCGATTTAGGTAAGTTTCCACTCAAATTGTTCTGTCCAAAATCAATGAGCTTCAACCTGGTGGAATGCGTGAAAGATGGCATTTCACCATAGAAGTTGTTGTCATTTAACATGATAACCTTACTGTTTTCCAAAGAATCAACTGAGCTTGGTATTCTACCTGACAAATTATTATGGCCCAAACTTAAAACCTTCAAGTCTTGAAAATGCTCCCAGCAATTGGGAAGTGTTCCTGACAACGAATTATTAGACATGTCAAGAACATGCAATTCTTTTTGCGTTAAGAGGTTTGTTAAGTTGCCATGAATTTTGCTATCAGAAAAATCCAAGTATTTCAAACCTGGAGATAAGCCCCAAAACCATTCAGGAGTGGAATCAAAAATTCCACAACGAGAAATATCCAGCCACTCAAGTCTCTTTTGATTTCTGAGCCATCGAGGGAAGTTAGGACCCAAGTTGCATGATGATGCAGATAACTCGTACAATTGAAAAGATGGCAGCCAATTTGAATTGAAGTTGAAAGAAATGGAATTGCATGAGACATCCAAAACCTTCAAATTTGATAGAGATGATAGATGTGCTTCGTTGATCACTCCGCTCAATTTATTTGAAGAAAGTATCAGCTCGCCGAGGCTAGAAAGCTGACCAACAGTCCACGGAAGAGTGCCATTAAACTCATTTTTTGACAAATCGAGAGTTTCCAATGATGTAAATTGTGTGAACTCAGGCAATAACCCACTCAAATAGTTGTAACTTAGGTCCAAATGTTTCAAGCTACACAAGGGCCTAAAAGATTGGGGGATCATATGTGAAATTGACCCATAAAGATTCGTTTCTCTAAGGCGTAGTCTCACCAAAGATGAGAATGTCGAAAAATTAGGAAAGGGTCCATTGTTGAAGGGGTTTTGAGTGAGATCTAACTCCTCTATTCCATTTTGGACACAACATGGTTGTCGTATCCATTGATTAAGTTGGCCAGACAAATAGTTGGTAGACAACAATAACACCTTGAGCTGGCACAAATTACAAACGAATTTTATTGTGTCACTCTCAAGTTTATTGTTATGAAGGTCAAGATATTGAAGAGAAGTCATATTTATGAAGGCATTTGAAGGAATATTCTGTAAAGAATTGGATGAGAGGTCGAGATGTACTAAGGCTTCGCTCAATTTAAACACCCAAGACAGAGTCAAAGAGTTTAATTGGTTTCGTCCAAGACTGAGGATTTTCAGATGAGAGGAAGAGTTCGTGTAGGAAAATGATTGGGGATTGACTTGAGGAAGTCTAGTCTCATCTAAGTGAAGCTCTAATAAAGAAGGGATATTGCTGATGGATGATTGCCAATCAGTTGCTAGTCTTAAATCAACTAAGTTGAAATTGACATATCTCAAAGAAGAAAGATGAGAAACCCACGCAAGGCTATTCGAGATCAAATTGTAATTACCTCCAAGGTCTAGAGTTTGAATATTGGACAAATTTTGCAATTCGCTGGGAATAATGCCTGTGAGTTTAGCTTTTCTCAGTTTCAACACTGTCAAATGACCAAGTGAACCGATGCACTTTGGGATCATTTGTCCTTCAAAATCATTAAAACTGAGATCCAACGAAGTTAGATGTTGCAACTCACACAATGAAGCATTGATAGTACCTTTCAATTTAGCAGAAGAATCAGAAGCTGTGAGATTCAAGTGGGTGACACGACCTGTTAAATTATTGCATGAAATTCCCTTCCACTTGCAGCAATCAACTTCTCTTTCCCAGGAAGAAAGAATGTTCCCTTCATCAGCGAAACCATCCTTTAACTTGAAAAGGGCTTCCTTGTCTGTCTATTCGCAACTCTTCAAGTTGGAATTTCCTGCACACGAAAAGATGCATAAAACCACAACCAAACAAAAAAGGCAGAGGCTGAGTTGAGCGTACTAAACATGTTTTGGCCTGTTTTGGCTCGTAAAATGAAGTCAAACTTTCATTTATAGACACCAAATTTTCATAGGTATTCGATGATCTATTTGATCTGAGTGGATCACAATTATTAATTGGAATCATGATCATTACAAGACTTGACTTGTAGTGAACTGCCTCTAGAAAAGCTAAAAAGAGAAAAGACTTGCCCCGCTTTTCTCTTTCTTTGTGATTAACGCGGTATCTTCACTTTTTCCTACGCGCCTTTGAAACCCAAGCGCCAAGCTTGAAGGTCATTCAAGAGAAGAATCGGAGAAGCATCACTGAAAGGGACATTATAACTGCCGTGACAAAGATTTGCAGGCCACTTCAAGGAGAGTCATGCGAACATTAAATGGAGAGTACATTTCACATGATTTTATTCAACATTTCATCTCCACTTTTTGTAATGTATACGTTAGACTAGTTTTACATTTTTTTACTATAATATTTTTGCAAGATTAAATTATAAATCATCTATTAAACTTTGAGTTATTTATAAATAAACTTTGGTTTTATATCAATGACATATTATATAAATTTGGCCAGGAAAATAAATTATAACATTTAATATCTAAATAATAGGACTTGTTAAAGAAATTGAGACTTGTTATTTCAAGCTAGTAATAGGACTTGCTATTTCACAAATGGTTATTTGTTATATTACCAATGGAGACTTGTTAAAGAAATTGAATATGGAGTGGCTTTTATAATGTTTGCTTGTTTTTATTACTAAAGTTTTACATGTTAAAGGTTAGATGAAATTGGGACTTATTATTTTATAAATAGTTACTTATTAAATTAACAATAGGGACTTATTTGTCAAATTATCAAGATAAATTTTTAAAACTAGTAAGGAGGCTTGTCATTTGATAAATAGTTACTTATTAAATTACCAATAAAAACTTGTCATTCCTATTAATAGAAATAAGTAAACATTTATAAAAATTAGTGCATATTTAATTTTTTACTAAATCCCATTAGTAATTTAAAATATAAAGTGAAAACAAAGTTTAAAATATATATCATGATTTATTTTATATAATTGAAAGGAATTGCTAGCTTAGTGACTAACAATTTTTTTTTTGGCGGCTAAGGAGATGTGGGTTCAAATCCCCCATCAGCCACTTTAAAAAAATTTTAACTTGTCTCCCTTCCCAGTCCAGTGACTAGCCACCGAAGTTGGAGCTCTAGTGGCAGTTGATAGTGGGAGGATTTTTTTTTTTTTAAAAATGAAGGATAGTTGTGTCTTTTCACACTAAAATTTAATTATATTTTGATCCCTCAGTCCTGTAGAGTGAATTCAGATTCTTTTAATCTTTTTCTATAAATAAAATACTCTAGAAGTCCTTAATGGTATTGTTACTAGCCAGGGTGAATAAGAAAGCACCAGAATTAAATCTCTAGCCACTAGCCAGGGTTTTCAATTTCCTCATCAATATTCTCGATCAGTTCTATTTTGACTCTTTTTGTTGGTGATGGAGATGGCGAGGACTGAACTTGGACTTATGCATGGTCACACGTCCTGAGATTTTTCCATTAGGGACGTAAAGTGATTAACGAGCTAGAGACCTGTTCAACTATTTTATGTGTCCTCGTCTTGTAATGCATGTCATTTTATATTTTATGTTGTCGTTCTTTCTGTTTGCATATGAATCTTGCGCTTTAAGTTAATGATATATATATATATATATATATATGAAGCCTTATGAATTCTCTTTTTCAAATTTAATTGGCATGTCGTCAAATTAATTGAATATATATGGTTTAGATATACTCTTCTATGGCTAAATATGGGCTTAATGTCAGGACACCATCTTCCAGTGCATTTTTTTCATTAGATATTCGTAAATGGTCATTAATGTGAGAATTGTAACTGCTTTATGAAATTAAGCTACGCACGGCATAGATCAACATTAGGTCCCTACCATCGCTTTGATGGCACAGATAACGATTTTATTGTTTCTCTTATGAAGGAATGTGCCAAAATAGTTTCATTATGAAGGGGTATGTCATGAGTCTCACGTCGAAAAGCCTCACATGTGATGTAAAGTTTATAAATTCAAAGGACTCTCCCTCTTAATAAGCTAATATTTTAGAATGAGCTTTTTTTTGGACCTGTACTCATTATATTGATGCTTTTATTGAGAGTCAGGTGTCACAGAAAAGGCTATCCATGGAGGATTTTAACTAGTAAAAGGTCGAGTGAAGTGCCGTAAAGTAAAGCCGCCAGGGATGTCGGCTATTAATGGAGTGGCATTGTCACAAATCCCATATCAGGGAATCTCACAAGTAATGTAAGGTTTATAAGTTTAAAGAGTTCTCCCTCCTAATAGGTTAGTCTTTTGAAAAGGATTTTCCCTTTGAACTTGTGCTCATTACAAGCTATTCTAGTCTTTTGAATGTTTATCTTGTGGATTAAGTTACACCCTTGTTAAAAACTGTGAGAATTTCAACTAGCAATTATGAAAGAAATATTTACTAGTGGGTTCCAAAAAAATCTGAAAATTTTTGGATTGAACTGAAATAAAATGGGTGGTTAAAAATATTAAAATGCCCTTTTGTAAGATTAACAAGTTCTTGTTTATTGTCTAATTTTATTTGTCAATTGCTCTTGTACTTGTTAATTCATTAACAGTACTTGTTAGATACCTTAAGAATATTATTTGTTAATTTTACGACTTTATTTATTAATTTATCAATAAAATTTATTCACTCAATTTGATTAAAAAACGTCATAATTAGTTATAAACATGCAATTGGCCTAGTTGTAGACATGCAAGTGAAACCCAAGGTCATCTGCAGACACCAAATTTTCATTGGTTTTCGATGATCTATCCGAAATGAGTGGATCACAGTAATTCATTGGAGTCATGATTATTACAAGACTTGACTTGTAGTCAACTGTCTCTAGAAAAGCAATCGAGCAGGCAAACAAACAAACAAAGACTTGCGCTACCTTTCTCTTTTCTTGTGATGAACGCCGTATCTTCACTTTTTCCTACGCGTTTTTGAAACCCAAGCACCAAGCTTGAAGGTCATTCAAGAGAAGAATCGGGGAAGAATCACTGAAGGGGATATAGCTACCATAACAAAGATTTGCGGGCCACCAAGAGTGGAAATAGGGGATTCTAATTGGAGCCACAGCTCTCCTAACATTTTAATTTTTTTAATAAAATATAGAAGTTATATATTTTCGACCCTCATAAATCAATACATTATATAAGCTTTGAGATACTAAATAGAATTCTCATTTAAATTATATAATAGTCTTTTTATTTATGTACAATCTAACTATTTTGATAGTTTAAAGATATAATTGTTATAAAATTCACTTATTTTCAACATGTTACAATTTCTCTTAAAGTATTGATGTCATTTAATTTTGATTTTATTTTATATTTGATGAAAGAAATTGTGAGAATTATTAATAATAAACTTTGTCAAGCATTACAACAAAAATCTCAAGATATATTTAATGCTATATGTTTAATATCTGCCCTAAAATTATTTATCCAAAAGTTAAGAGATTATAATTAAGATATGTTCTTTTAGGAAAACAAAATTACTTTTTCCTGCAATAACCAAGCTTTTGAAATTTATTGTATAAATATTTTTTATTATGATATATTTAAATCTCATCAACATAAAAAAATTTGTAACAATTGAGCATCATTACCATGTTGATATAGAGTTTTTTAGATGAAATAGAATTTAAATCCCAATAATATATTTAAATTATTTTTTATTATATATATGTAAAATTGAATATAAATATATACATTAAAATATTTATATTATGTTAGTAATATATATAGATTTAATTTTTTTTAATTATTATATATGATTTATCATCTCGGCCTTCCTTAATAAATTTTTTTGACTCTGCCTCTGCAGCCACTCCATTGTTAAAACGAGAGTCATGCGAACAATAAATACAGAGTACATTTCACATGATTTTATTCAACATTTCACCTCCAATTTTTGTAGTGTATATAGTAGACTAGTTTAACATTTTTTACTAAATTATTTTTAAAATATTAAATAATAAATCATCTCTTAAACCTTGAGTTATGTATAAATAAATTTTGGTTTTATATCAAAGATATATTATATAAATTTGGCCAGAAAAATGAATTATAACATAATAATAGAAATATATAATTTTTGGCGACTTTGTTGCTAAAAGGTTGTTACTATAACAATCGTCGCTAACAATTTTTGGCCGCGATAAAGGTTTTTTGTCGCTAAAAGAATTTTTAGTGGCAACATCTATCATCGCCAAATTTTTTTTACGAAATAATAATTTATTTTATATCACATCACTCTACCACGTATACATCACTTGGTGGCGATTTTTGATAAAATTCACTTTTGCAGCGACTTTTATTTGTCACCACAAAAAATTTACTTTTAGCGTAAACTTTTTTAATCACCGTCAAAAGTCTTTTTTTTTTTTTTTTTGTAGTGTCACCATCCATTTTGGACTATAATAAGGTTATATGACTGGGAACATGGTGGTTTTCAGCGATTTTTCTGGACTGATATTAAGGTACTTATGCTTTGATTTTCCAGCTAAACTTTGCTCAATTTAAACACTCAAGAGAGGGTAAGAAAAGAGCCCACAAGATTTCGCATATTGATGAAGCTCGATTTATCAAAGGGATTTTGCTTGTTGATGATTGCCAATAAGTTGCTCAAATTAGATTATCTTGTGCCAAATTGAGATATATCAAAGAAGAAAGGTAAGAAACCCACTTAAGGCTATTTGAAATCATAGAGTTAACTCCAAGTTCAAGAGTTTGAAGATTGAACAATTCTGCAATTCGCTAGGAATGATGCCCCTGAGTTTAGCTTTTCTCAGTTCATATCTGTCAAATGGTCAAGTGAACTGAATTAGGACTGAATAAAACATAATTAGACC